GGTGATCCTGCTAAATCTGTTGCACAGAGGGAAAGACAGAAAATAGCACCAGAGTAAACCCATAGTGTCCTTGAGAACGAAAAGGTAAACAATTTACAACAGACGTTACTATCATCTATGCTATGTTATAAAGGTCCATGCAGTGGGAAAGGGAAGCAGGATGTGTAGCCATAGAGAAGAGACTCCATTTGTAACTCCAGCCGACCATCTCAACCTCCTTAGTTGCTTTTTGCTGGATATTGTTAAACACTTGATTTGATATTATCTCTATCTGTTGCTATTTGTACTTTTACTTGGAAATCTCATTGTACAGGACACTTGGCTCTCCCTCAGATTCTATTGGGAATCCAGCTGATTTCTGTGATTTTTTAAGCCCCCAAGCTAATGATGCAACCTTTCTGTATTTTTTCCTGCTCTAATTTATGCTATATGCATGCAAGCTAAAATTTCTTATAAAGAAGATAAAACTTTAAAAAAGCATCTGAGTTTAAATTGGTTTTATGCATATCAACAGACTGACACATATACTGCTTTTTACATTGACTGTCACTGTCTGACTTGAGCGGTAGACTCAGAACATAGATGACAAACAAGGGATAGTAACATCTGATCTTATTCATGGATGGAAAAGGCAAAAGTTTAAGCACAGGCCAAGGAACATATCTAAAGTCAAAGTTTCACTCTGTGTCTGGCTTTCTCAGATGACTTTGACTTAAGTGTTTCTAAATAAGATTTGATATACTGAAAACAGATGAAGCATGTCAAGATAGCCTGGCAAATGGGAGGGGAAATATTGAGCTTTTAAGGCTAGTTTGCATTCATTTGTCCTAACTTTCTGATTGGAATTATATGAAAAACATAACAGTAAGACAGAAAGACAACAGGATTATACATGATTTCACTTAATACAGAAGTCTCCCATCCCAGCTGTGTGAGGTGGGGGAGTGCAGCAGAGTAAAGAGAAAGGGTGATGCTCATAAACACCAATGCTGGATAGTTCCTGTCTCACTCCTGCTGGGACTCACAGGAATCTTCCTGGGATGTTGAGTAATGAGCTAGAGCCCATGTCCTGGAACAGTTAAGACAACTAGAGTTTACCAGGACTTAACTGATGGTCTATAATTACCTGCCCAAGTGCCTGCAGATAAGCTCCAATTGCATTATAAGACATGGCCTCTTTTGCAGAGGGAAACAAAACTGTTAACTTTAATAAACAGAGTACTTACCTGTAATTTTAAATGAAAATTTCTCTCCAGGGGCTCTTGAGATTTCAGACCCAAATTATCTCATTTAAGTAGAAAGCTTAACTCTCAGAGTCGTCTACTTCAATTACAGAACCAGCTGATTTTTTAAAAAGGTATTCTCTGTAAGGGTATTTTGAATGCTAAGTATACTCCAGAAAGTTATGAGGTTGCTGACGATGCTATAGCTTGCTCTGCACTGTACTCATATAAAGATGGCTAGCATAAGGGTTTACATGTGATAATCAATACAGTTAAGTTTCTGAGGACAAGGTCTTACTCCTAAGACTCAACTACAAGTCCTGACATGGAAAAGGCTCTGTAGGAAATGTCAGGTGAATGATGAACTCAAACACCAGCACCCTGGGACTTCTGAAGACAACTAAATGTGCAGAAGTCCAGTTGAAAGATGTGGGTACTGTACCATAGACACACCAGTGGCACAAAGAAAATACACCAAACAATGATAGTCTTTTGGAAATAAGAAAATCCACTGACTAGAGAAGATAGGTGCCAGTTTGACAAGCTGTGGGAGTGCTGGTGCCATGTTACCGCGCAAGAAAGGAGAGAGTGGAACCAAGGAGATTATTCGTAGCCTTTAAGATTTCAGGAGGTTTGGGGGGGCTTATGCGGGATCTGCCACACATCTTTATTATCCTTCCCTATTAGAATAGAATGCCTACCACATCATTATACTTTGGAGATATATAACTTTTCTTTATAAGTTCACAGATAATGATAAATTTTGGCACAGAATAACTTATTTCTCAAGTCTCACCATATTCTGTTTTAGATATTTAGATGAGATTTTGAATTTCAGAGGTGATGCTAGAACAAAATAGAACTCTGTTGGGACAGAGTGAATGTATTTTCTATAACAGAAAGATACTCATTTGGGAGTAACAGGGACAGAAGGTTATAAACCATACTTATAAACCATGTTTGGGTCACTCTCAAATTACTACTGAAATTCTAAACCTGTAACGGAATTGGGGTCCTTGAGAGGTAGTTAGATCATGAGGGTAGAACCCTCAAGAGTGAGGCCTGGAGAAACACTGAGAGGCTTAAGAGCACAGAGCACCTGACTTCACGTGGCGACACGCTACGGGGTGACGCACATCTACCTATACCTTCAGCTGCAGGGTCGCATGTCTCTAGCAGGCCCCACACAAGCACACATACAGAAACTGTGGTGCATTTACACAGTGGAATACCACTCCGCTGCTAAAAAACAAGGAAATCATGAAATTTGCAGGCACATGGATAGAACTAGAGAGGATCATCCTGAGTGAGGTAACCCAGAAGCAGAGAGACATACATGGTATATACTCACTTATAAGCAGATATTAGCTATATAATATAGGAGTATTATACTGAAATCTACAGACCTAAAGAAGCTAAAAAATAAGGAAGACCCTAGGGAGGATATTTAATTCTCATTCAGAAGGGCAAACAGGACAGACACTGAAAGTGGTAGAAGAAAGGTAACAGGACAGGAGCCTTCCACAGATGTCCTCTGAAAGACTCCACCCAGCAAGGTATCAAAGCAGATGCAGACACTCACAGCCAAACTTTGGACAGAGCACAGGGGGTCTTATGGAAGACTGGAGGGATAGAAGGACCCGGAGAAGTCAGAAGCTCCACAAGGAGACTAACAAAGCCAAACAAGCTGCCCTACAAAGACTGATGCATCAACCAAGGACCATGTATGGAGAGGACCTAGACTCTAGGCTTAGACGTGGCCCATAGTCTCCAAGTGGGTTCCCTAATAAGAGGAGCAGGGGCAGTCTCTGACATGAACTTGGTTGCCTGCTGTCTGATCACTTCTCCCTGGCAAGGTGGCCTTACCAGGCCACAGAGGAAGAGGCTTTAGGCAGTCCTGATGAGACTTGATAGACTGGTCAGATAGTAGGGGAGGGAGATGGGGGAAATGATGGAGGGAGGGTGGGACCAGGAAGAAATGAGGGAGGGGGCTACAACTGAGATACAAAGTGAATAAATTGTAGAAAAAAATAATAATAAGTAAAAATAAATAAAATGTTTAAAGATATTTAATAAATAAGTAAAATCAGCCATAATCTCTATCAATATATCCCTGGGCTACAATCCTGTCTGTCTTATCAACTATACATGGTATCACTGAGTAATGATCAATAGTCTGGGAATCTATTTATATGCTAAAGGAAAGCAGTGCTTTAATTTATTTTTTGTCAAGATCAGAACATCATAGAACAGGGAAATTAACTTTTTCTTTTATTTTAACTTTTATTTTAACTTTTATTAAAAGTGAAAAGTTTAACTAATTCTAAAAATAATTTAAATAAATAAATAATATAAAAGCTCCATTAAAGTACTCCAATGATGAGAAAATTCTCAAGTAATATAAAAGTACCCAAGATTTTTTTTTCTCTTGACTACACTTAGTAAATGACCAGAGAAGAAATGCCTGAATTCTGTAAAATAGCATTTTGGCTATAAATGCCATCACACACTTATCAGATCTTTGTACCTCTAAACAAAAGGAGGCCTAGGGTCTCCTTAATTTTTCCCTACCCAGAAAGTCAGAAAGCAGTGCTGTAGTTATTTATGTTTAAGGACCCAAAGCTCTGAAATGTAGTCTATTTGAACCAGCCATTTATTGTCTTTTTTTTCCCCAAACCAAAGTAAAATGAGTGACAATGCCAGCCTTCCCTTCTGCTCAGAAGATGACCTCCCTTTCACAGGGCTACAGCAGCACTGAGGGCTGAAGATGCCCTCAGCTATAACACTTTTTCTGTGAGCCCTCTCACTCACACAAAGCAAGGAAGGGCCCAGGGTTTTCTGTATTCGGGGGCTGGGCATCTTTGTCATATTCTCTTTGTCTTTATGCTTCTCCTCTGCCTTTTCTCTAGCATTAAACACAGTATACTTTTTCTGAGGAAGTGGTAGCCAAAACTTAATTTTGAGCTTCCACATGGAATTAGGTACTGAAGAAAAAGAAGCTAGGGTGTTGGAGAGTTGGCTCAGTGGTTAAGAGCACTGTTTGCTCTTCCAAAGGATGAGGGTTCAATTTCCAGCACCCACATAGCAGCTTACAACTGTCTGTAGCTCCAATTCCAAGGAATCTGGTATGTATACCAATGTACATAAAAGAAAATAAAACAAATTCTTTAAAAAAAAGAAAAGAAAAAGAAGCTGTTTATGTTACAGATGTGCTCTGTAATATCCTTCCAAGGACCCGTGTGTTAACGGTTTTCTTCCCACCTGGTAACTTAACTGGAAGGTGGTGGGACACTACCGGAAGCCAGGCTTAGTTAGAGGAAGCAGGTGACTGGTTCGTGTCCCTTAGAGAGTACCTGAAGACTCCAGCCTTTCCTCTCTCTACTTCCTGGCTGCCAAGTAGTAAGCAGTTTGACTCCATCGTGTATTCGCACAGTGCAGCTCCACCTTAAAAAGAGCCTAAAAGCAATGAAGACAACCAACCACAGACTGACACCCGTGAGGCAGTGACTGAAAATAAATCTTTCCTCTTGAAAGTTGCCCCACCTCAGGTATGTTGTCACAGTGGTGGAAAGTTAACACAATGTGGGATAGTTTGGATAACATCAAGGGCTACTGGGAACTGGCGCGAAAGTCCCAGCTAATAAAACAATGCTAGTTTATCTTGTTTTATCTTCTCAATATGTTTACTCTAAAGGCCAGAGTTGCTCTGACACATCCATTCTAATAAATATAAATAATATAAATATAAATCTTACCAAAACTTTCCAGGACTCTTACCTGATCTGCTTGCCTTCTCTCATGTCATATAGAGAAAAGAAGACATCAGTGTCCTCCCCAATGGTATTGTAGGTGAAACTCTTCAGGCTGAAGAAGAAATGGTGTGGTATTGGCATCCGACAGGTTTCCCCATGGCGTGGGCGCATTGTATCTACCTATTGAGGAAAGTAAAGCATTATAATTTATATTTTAGTTGCTTGTTATATTCATCATTCAGAAACAAAAATAAATTAATAATTCTCATTGTACTGACAAAAGGAGTTATTACAGGTAGAATGAAGACGTTTTCTCCGGCAATATGAACTGCTATAACAGACTTAGACAGAGCTGGGGAAGCCATCTCACATACTTTATTTAAACTGTTAGGTGGTAATAGTTTCCATCCTAGATGTCATTTTATCTTTTCCCAAATGGATTCTTTTTAGTTTCCCAGTCTACTTACTTTTAATTGTGCTTAAATAAATTTACATAAAAGAATGGAGACTGACCAAACTGACTGGAGGCCAAAGCTCCTTAGAATAAAGGTATAATACTATCGAGGTTTTAGGGAGGCAAATATGAGCTAAACACAATAATACACATGCTATGACAATGCCATAAAGAAAAGCCATTATTTTATACATGTCCTAAAAAATTCAGTTACAAAGTAGCTCCCCCAAAAGTGAATGGTGTCTGTCATTTCTTGGTGTTTTCATGTGTATAATCTCTTAAAAGAGCTGAAGGAAAAAAAATGGGAAGTTTGAGGAAGTCACTTACTTGGGATGTGCTCTGCTGCACACTCTGCCGGCTAGATAAATGCTACAGAAAGAAAGAAATGTAGAAAGAGTCACTCTCTGAGAAAGGAAACTAACCTTTATTTAGTTCCCCTCGACCCTACTCAGTCTACTACGCCTTTATAGTCATGATCTCACTTAAGTATGTGTTATACATATTTGGTAGAGGCAACTAAAACTCACAGGAAAAGACTCTCTCACTGGAGGTCACACACGAGAAGGAGGTATTTTCTATGTGTAAAACTCAAACCTCTCTATTCTGGATAATAACCAAACCACACTTTGGATGGATGTTTGATGCTAGATTTCTGATTTGGCAATATCTCTTACATTGTATAATTTTCTGGGCTGTTTGATGCAGTTTCTTCAGGCTTTTCACAATGGAGCCCTTTATCAAAATCTCCCAAACAGCTCTCTACTCTTTATTTTATCACTGGCTGAAGCTACAAGATGTAGATCTGAGCTCTATAACATAGACTGAACTTTTTTGGAGAAACTAATTTTCAGTACTTTGAAACGACAGATATCTAACAATCCCCCAGTAACTGCTAGACAGTGAAATCAGCATTACTTATCTGATCAGCTATCCAAAGCTCTTTCTTTCTTTTGACAGTAAGTGGTAGGCGTTTCAAAGGACAGGTGAACAACTACTAATTAAAAGTTGTGCTTGATCCCAGAAGCAGAAAGATGCACACGGTATATACTCACTCATATAGACATATAATATAGGATAAACCTACTAAAATCTGTACACCTAAAGAAACTAATCAAGAGGGAGGACTTTTGCTAAAATGCTCAATTCCTATCCAGAAAGGCAAAGAGGATGGACATCAGAAGAAGGAGAAAAGAGGGAACAAGTCAGGAGCCTGACACAGAGGACCTCTGAAAGGCTCTGCCCTGCAGACTATCAATGCAGATGCTGAGACTTATGGGCAACCTTTGGGCAGAGTGCAGGGAATCTTAGAAAAGAAGTGGGAAACAGTAAGATCTGGAGAGGTCAGGAACTCCACAAGGAGAGCAACAGAACCAAAAAATCTGAGCACAGGGGTCTTTCCTGAGACTGATACTCCAACCAAGGACTATGCATGGAGATAACCTAAAACCCCTGCACAGATATAGCCCATGGCAGTTCAGTATCCAAGTGGGTTCCATTGTAATAGGAACAGGGATTGTCTCTGACATGAACTGATTGTCCTGCTCTTTAATTACCTCCCCCCGAGGAGGAAGCAGCATTACCAGGCCACAGAAGAAGACAATGCAGCCACTCCTGATGAGACCTAATTAATTAGGATCAGAAGGAAAGAAAAGACCTCCCCTATCAGTGGACTTGGGGAGGAGCAAACAAGCAGATGGTGGAGTAAGGGAGGGATTGGGACTGGAGGAGGGAGGGAACCACGGGGGGGACATACAAAGTGAATAAAGTGTAATTAATAAAGAATTAAAAAAATAAAATGTAATGAAAATTAGAAAATTTTAAAAAAAGTGTGCTTGTAAATTCAGCATCATAATTCCAGTATCTTAGAGCCTCTGAATAGCTGAAAGATATGGGAAGTGGGGAGGCCGATGGGAACATAAAGGGTGACTCTTAAGTTCTGGCCCCATGTTGGGCTCTGAGGCAACACACAAGATTGGAGACTGCAGAGGAGCACAAAAGCTGTAAAGGAAGCAGGGCCCCAAGAGGTGGAACCAGTGGATCCAGGCTGCAGTACTGGGCATTAAGAACTAGGGTGTTTCTTCTTGGCTTCCAAGTCCTTTTAAAAATTGTAATCTCTTCCAGTTTCTAGCTAAGCTTGGCATGTACATCATACTTCTAAGCCAGAAACATTCCAACCATTTTGCCCAAACCAAATCCAAGCAGGAACTGGAATATGCTGTCAATGAGGAGAGCAAGCAGCTCCTTCACTGCTTGGGACCTCTTTAAAACAAAACTTGTCTTTCCTTCAATTATAAAACAAAGGTAAGAACTTGTCTCATATTTCCCAGGACATTGTTTCAGGCATACATGAATGTACATGCAGGTGTATAATCCAGAAGACAGTGTTGAATATCTTCTTCAATTGATTTCCACTTTAATTTTTGAGACAGGGCTCTCAATGTACCTAAAGCTCACCAACTGGCTAGCCTTGCTGTCCAGTGAACTCCAGGGACCCACTAGTAAGTTCTTTTGATGCTCAAATTGCATAGTGGGAATTACTCATATATTATAAGTTAGGAACTTAATTACATAAGTTTGATTCTGGTTTTGAATCTTGACTCATGTCTACTAGCTGGGTATTTTCTCATCTATAAATTCAATATAAAATTTTGTGCTTACATCAACTTTATAGAAGTTTACATGGATTAACTCAATATAGTATCAATCATATTGTAAATGGATAATTATGATTGTAACTACTGTTCTTATTATTCCTAATTGATAGTATTACTAAAGGTACATTAGAGGGGAAAATGTCATTCACATTTACGAGTAAATCCTGTCCAAGAACACCATGACAATGCAAGCATTTAGCACCTGGAACTAGTTTTCTGCTTCCTTTTTGCCACTAAAGGTTATGTTACAGAACTCAACTGGTGTTTCACATAGCTGAGATAAGAATTATTATTTCAGTAGAATTGCCTCATTTCATTCACAAACACTATAATAACTAAATAAAATTAAATGAGAATTTAAATGTCATATATAATTATCTATGTAAATTGGCGACATTAGCTAATTACTATTGATTATTAATGTTTATTCCTGGACCTGCATGTTCCCATGATACATATTAAAGTAATAAAATGAAGTTTTTAGGCTGGGTAAATTATTAATAGAATGTTTATTACACAAAAGAAAACATCACATGTAAAACTGTTTTGAAACACTTTAAGGGTTGGAGTTATAACTCAATGTTACAGCACTTATCTAGCCTACACTAGGCTCTGGGCTTGACCTCAGACAGTGAAAAAACAAACTTCATAAACCAATAGGTTTCAAAAAATTTAGGTTTTCTGTAGCTCATTGATTATATGTCATTATAATGTTTTTTGTTTGTTTGTTTTCAAGACAGTGTTTCTTGGTGTAGCTCTGGTTGCCCTGAAACTTGCTCTATAGAGCATGCTGTCCTTGAACTCAGAAATCTACATTCTCTGCCTCCCAAGTGCTGGGATTAAAGGCATATGCTACCATCGTCCGGCTGTCACTATAATGTTAGTAGGCAAAAATAATTCTGTTTTATTCTACATCAGAGACAGCATCAAGCCATTCTTTATTGACTTAAAAATGCATTGGCTAAATGCCTGACACTATTCACCATACTCTGCTATGCTTGCAGACAGAAGCCTAGCATAACTGCCCTCTAAGAAGTTCCACCCAGCAGCAGATCAAAACAGATGCTGAGACGCACAGCTAAACATTAGACAGAGCTCAGGGAGTCCTGTAGAAGAGTTAGAGGAAGGATAGAGGGACCCAGAGGGGACAAGAACTCCACAAGAAGACCAACATAAATCAACTAACTGAGGACCATAGGGGCTCACAGAAACTGAACTACCAACTAAAGAGCATTCATGGAATGAATCTAGGTCTTCTACACATATGTAGCTGATGGGCAGCTCCGTCTTCACGAGCGTCCCCTAGCAATTAGACAGGGGCCATCTCTGACGTGGATTCTGTTGCCTGCTTTTGGATCACTATTTCCTAGCTGTACTGACTTGTTGGACCTCAGTGGAAGAGGAAAAACTTAGTCCTGATGTGACTTGATGTGCCGGGATGGGTTGGTGGTGGGGCTCCCCTTTTCTGAGGAGAAGGGGAGAGAGGGTGGGACCAGGAGGAGGGGAGAGAGAGGACTGCGATAAGGATCTAAAGTGAATAAATAAATAATGAGAAAGATAAAAATAAAAAAAAATAGTCTTTGACCAGTGTGGGGTGGGAGAAGAAATTTATTGGCTATTAAAGTTATTATCAATTTTGCTAGTCATAAATTTGCCACTAGAACTATATGCAAGAGTTCATGAAATACAGCTGCTGATTATAACAAATATTTTAGACATTGCAGGCATCAACTTTTGGGACAGTTTTTCATATGGGCAGAGAAAAGAATCACAACCAGCATTTGAGAAGCTCTTGGGAAACCACAGAGTAGTTCTTCAGAAGAACGGGAAGTGATCTACCTCCAGGCCAATATCACCCCTGGGCATATACGCAGAAGACGCTCCACCCTGCTACAAGAACCCTTGCTCATCAACATTCACAGTGGCTTTATTCATAACAGCTGGGAACAACCTAGACGTCCTTCAACCGAAGAATGGGTAGAGAAAATGTGGTACGTTTACACAATGGAGTATTGCTCAGCAGTTTAAAAAAAAATCATGAAATTCACCAGCAAATAGATGGAACTAGAAAAATCATGAGTGAAACAAACAAAACCCAGGAAGACAAACATGGTATGTACTTACTTATAAATGGATATTAGCTGTTTAAGTGAAAAGTAATTATGCTACAATTCACAGACCCAGAGAGGCTAAGTAACAAGGAGGCATATAGGTGGACATATGGCTCTCCCTGGGAAGGGGAAACAGAATACAGTTTGCAGGTGGACTGGGAGTAGGTTGGAATGGGAATAGGAGCGATCAAGTGGGAGATGGAGGAGTAACAGGAAAGAAAACTGGAACTGGAAAGCAATTGAGAGCGAGCAATGTGGAAACCTCGTGCCGTGCAAAGCTCCTAGAATCTATGAGTGACCCTAGCGAAGATTCAAACTAATGAAGAATACAGAGCCTGAACTGGCCATCTTCTGTAACCAGGCTAGCTTCCATGGTGGGAGTAGACACCCTTCAATTCACACTCTGTCCTGCCTGCAAGATGTGCTGGGGCAGTGGTGGCTCAGAGCTTGTGGGAGGGGCCAGCCAATGACTAGTCTAACTTGAGGCTCACACCACAGGAAGGAGACTACACTTGACACTGTCTAAAGGCTAGAAATGGGAAGCCCAGAGACCTAGGGTAGAACCAAAAACGACTGGGGGAAAAAAGGCAAAGAAATGATTCCT